TCATCTCGTAAATCGCCACAGAATCAATTAAATTACTTATTTCATTATATTGATCATACGATAATCGTATTGGAACAATATTTTGATCGTCAAATTAATACTAAATTATCATCAAAGGATCGTATTCGTTATCGTTATGTTTTATTCGCTAATCTTGGTAATCAAACGGTTATTAAAGATTTTTCGGATAAATTTCGATTTTCTCGTACACAATTAGCAACAAATATTAATCGTACACAGGAATTTTTAATTATGAATGCATTACGTTTAGATCCAGGTGAAGCATTAATTGTTACTGTTGAATAATAAAAATAACCCTTAACACTCCTGTCGGTGTGCAAAGGGTTGAATGATGATTATAATGATTTGTAAATTCACACCGTCCATGTTGCTCTGAATATGTTTTTTAAAAAATTTTGTAAAATTTTTCCTGTTAACTTCTTTGAATTTCTTCTCTGTTGATGTAATGTTTGTCGTTTTCAATTTTTTTTTTGAAATCTGGGTTAAAAATTTTCAATTTAAAAATGAATAAAAAAAATTCCTGTTTTTTAACACTGTAACACTTTCTATGGATTTTTTTTTAATGTTTAACGAAAAAAAACGTAACCAGAATCTACATGATTCATCGATTCTTGAATCATCTCACATAGCACATTCCATTTTTGGGTAAGAAAAGAATTTCAATTGAAAAAAGCTAAGAATCAGAAAAGTCAAAAGAGTCAGCTACACATTCTGGATTCCGGATTCTGTGAACGATCGAACGAAGATCGAACTACTACTACAGTTGCATGAAGTTTGTGTTTGTAATTAGTAAGAAATTAAGATTGCCTGGCCTGCCTGTTTGCTTGCTTGCTTATTTGCATTTGCAGAGTTTTTGAATATTAAATTTATCACCACTATCCACGATCGTTTCAAACGATGTCAAAAAATCATCCAAAAAAATAATTCTAACGAGAAAAAAAAGCACTGCGCATGTCTGATAAAGAAATGGATTCATTTTTTCCAACAAAAATTTGTTTGTTTCAAAAATTATAACGATTATTTTCATACATAATGATAATATGCCTTTTGGGCACTGTTTTTCTGTCAATCTTTCATCGTTGTTGATGATGCTAAATGTTTGTTGTTGTTGTTGTTGTTGATAGCTATTAAATTGTTGTTGTTGTTGTCGTTATTCTTGTTGTTGTTGTTGTTGACGATGATTATTCTCTTCAATCATGATGATGATGATGATGTGAAAAAAATTTTGTTATAAATTTTTCATATTAATATTCATTTCATTTTAAAAATTAAATGAATTTACAATTGATGTTTTTCTGATTATTATTATTCAAATAATAATAATAATGATTATTCATAAATAATGATGATGATGATGATGATGACAGTGATAATAATAATAACAAAAAACATTAATGATAATGATCATCATTTATTTATATTTTTAAAAAACCAGAAAAAAAAGAAATTTTTAAAAAAATTTTAAAATTCTGAATGAAAAGCATTTCTCTCTCTCTCTCTGCATTTATGGCATTTTTTCGCTCTTATTTAAATTCTGATTCATTTTTTTTGGTTTTTGATATGATGAATGGAGAATACGAAGATGAAGAAGAAGAATTTTTCTCTGCAATTATTCTCTGCGTTTGAATCTAAATAATGAAGAAGAAGAAAAAAAAATTCCGGAGAAATTAAACATAACGGGGAGAAAAATTTTTTTAATGATAAATTCTGTTGCAAACAACCAACCAACAACAGCAACAAACTGGCAATGTTTCTTTTCATTTTGTTGTTGTTATTCTTGACATTTATTTTTTTTTTGGTTATCCCAAAATGTAACAACAACAACAAAACAAAAATCATAATGATAATTATGTTGTTGTTGTTGTTTTATCCCGAACAACAACAAAATTCCAATTTTGCCAATTTCATTTTGCGGTTTTTGTTTTTTGTTTTTCGGGCGCTCATCAAATCAAATCAAATCAGAAAAAATTCATCGATATTTTCTCAATTAATTTCTCTCTCTCTCTCTCTCTCTCTCTCTCTCTCTCTCTCTGGATTGATTGTTTCTGAATTGATCGAGAACCAGAGAATCAATCAATCAATTGATTGAATTTTTTGTCATCGTTTTGTTTCGACAAGGAAGTCATCATCATCATCGAAAAAAAATTGATTTTTTCTTCTTCTTCTTCTTCTTCATCGACTGACCTACTGACCTAGCTGAAATAGCTTTGTCCACACNATTCCAATTTTGCCAATTTCATTTTGGGATAGATTTTTCTTGTTTTGCGGTTTTTGTTTTTTTTTTCACTGGCGCTCATCAAATCAAATCAAATCAAATGAAAAAAATTCATCGATATTTTCTCAATTAATTTCTCTCTCTCTCTCTCTCTCTCTCTCTCTCTCTCTCTCTCTCTGGATTGATTGATTCTGAATTGATCGAGAACCAGAGAATCAATCAATCAATTGATTGAATTTTTTGTCATCGTTTTGTTTCGACAAGGAAGTCATCATCATCGAAAAAAAATTGATTTTTTTTCTTCTTCTTCTTCATCGACTGACCTACTGACCTAGCTTTGTCCACACACATATTGATCATTAGAGGGAAAATCTCCAGAATCTTCCAAAAACAGAAAAAACAATCCAATCAGAGCCAGAAAAAAAAACCTTATAAATTAAATTAGAAGTTGATCATTTTTGTCTCTCTCTGTGCCGATGTCTCTCACTCTCGTTTACAAATTGGACATTTTATTCGCTGTCCAATTTGTTGTTGTTGTTGTCGGTTGTTTCAAACAACAACAACAACAACAACAACATTGTCATTTTGACAATTTTTTCGTCCATCACCATCATCATGGCCTAATCATCATCATTCATAAATATGATGATAATGATGGGAGAGAGAGAGAAAATTGAAATAAAATTGGCTTTGTTACCCCATTCAACAAACGAACAACAACAACAAAGGAAATGAAAATAACAACAACAACAACAACAAAAATTGGCAGAAAAAAAAACAATAATAATAACATCCCGAATGTATAGTGAGACTTAGTTTTTGTCCATCGTTTTTCTGTCGTCATCGTCGTTTTAGTTTAGTTTTTTTTTTCGGATTGTTGTTGTTGTTTGCATCGTACATATATTTGTATTACTCACCATCCAAATATGATTTGATTGATTGATTCCGTTTCGAATAAATTTTTTCTTTCTTTTTCTTGTTTATTTCGAATTCGTTTTTCGTTCGTTCGATTCGATTCATATTATTATTTTAGTTTGGTTCCATGGAATTCTGCAAGAAAAAATAACCGGAAAATAATAACCGAAAAAAAACAACTTTCGAATATTTTGATGGCTGCTGTTGCTCGTTTATTTACTGACGTTATTTGTGGAATTTTTTTTTTTGTTTAATCCGGAATATTCGAATGTTGTTGTCGTTTTTCGATTTGCGCATGGTCACATTCAATCATTACAGTTTGTTTTTGGGATAATTTTTTTTTTCGGTTAAAATTTTTCAATTTAATTAATGATAAGCATGATTATCACCAACAACAGCAAAGCCGACCATCACCATCAACGATCATCAAGGATTTTGTAGCCACGAAAAAAAACCATACTTTTTTCAATATTAAACGGGTTAAAGGAGAGAATATTCTATTTCATTTCTATTTTCACTCAGCCAATTCAATCGAGTCGCCGATGCCACCACCGCCGACAATCTATTTCCACCCAATCCATCATTATCTCGGTCACAATAGGAAACAAAAAAGATAATATATGAAGCTGTCGTCGACAACCAAAAACAAAAACAAAAACATTCGATATTAATTTTAACCCCGTTCACTACTAAATATCTTTTTTTTCGCTGTTCTTAATTCTCTTTTTTCTCGTTGTTCTCGTTGTTCATCTTTTTCTTCTTTAAATTCATTTCGTTTGTCATTTCGATTCGAATTCATCTCATCATCGTCATCCGAAACAAAACAAAGAAGAAAGGCTTTTAAATCAAATTAAAATTGATCACAAATTAGATTAGTGATCCAACGAGCAAAAAAAACGAAACGAAACGAGAAAAACGCAACACACGAACGAAGTGAATCAAAGTCACCAAAGGGCTCTCATTTCGGTTTTTCGATTCTGTTACAAATTCTCGAGTTTCTTTCCTTTTTCAAAATTCTTTCTTCTTCGTTCAGTGCTGGGTAAACGGATTTTTTTCGTTTGCCTTCGTTTTTTTACCAGAATTTTCGGAAAGCTTTTTTTCCACCAACTGCAGAATCTTAATTCTACTTTATCTTCTTGTTCATCATTTTCTTATCAGTGTTTCGTTTTACCGATAACCGAATGAATGGAAAAAAACTCTTAAAATGATGAATAAAAAACGAAACAAAATGAAATGAAATTAATTTAATTCATTTATCCTTTTTTTGTCGTGAAAACATGTGACCTTCTTATTCACTTACTTACTTATTTTCTGTTCAAAGTTTTTTTTTTTCAAAAATCAATTTTTTTTTTGTTTTCAAATTGAAAAAATGAAGTTGAGAAACTTCCCTCGAAAAAAAAGAAAATTTCCGGAATTTTCTCTTTTCCCGAAAAAATTTCTCATTGAAGAATTTAAATCAATTTTTCTTTTTCGACTTTTACTTTCCCCCACAACCACTCTCTACTCTCATCAAACGATGACAGTCCTCAAAAAACAAAAAAAAAATTCTCTACGAGAAAATTGGAATTTTTTTTTGTGGAATGCAAATTGGCAAACGACTGAAAGTCCGACAATATTTTGACCAAAACAAAAAACCACTCCAGCCATGAACAACAACAACAAAATCTGATGGCTGTCATTGTTTGGCCAAAACGAAAAACAAAAAAATCTGCAACAACCCAGATGATGATGAAATTCTGTTGAAACAGACATCATCATCATCATCATCAATCCTTTTTTTCCAGACTAGAAAATGAAATTGGAAATTCATTCATTCATTCCATTCATTCATTGCATGATAATTATAATTAAGAATTTTTTTTCTCTTGTTTTCGTTTGTTTTCATTAAGTTTTTTTTTTGTTTTCCAATTCCAAATTGGAAAACAAAAACTTAATGAAAACAAACGAAGAAAAACAAGAGAAAAATGAATTTTATAACCAATTTTTTTTCATTATCTTTTAAGCTTTTTTTCGGAGGGTAAAAAAATTATTATTTCCATCATCATCGACAAAATCCATAGGTAAATATTCTTATTCTTATTGTTTTTTAATTTGTCTGAAATATTCAATTTTCTCATTTTCGTCAAGAATGGAATAAATTCTTCGAGAGAGAGAAAACGAAAATGTTCCAAGACCCAAATCTTCTTCAGGATCTTTCTTGAATCGAACCAAAAAAAAAAAAAAAAAATCGAACGAAAAAAAAGTATCAATATT